CCCCAAAACCCCAAAACCCCAAAACCCCAAATGTCAGCAATTTTATAAAATTGAATGCTTTAATTTTGATTAATAAAAATTAAGTTGAAGTATGGGAAAAGACATCCTCATTCCAATAAACAAGCAAAGCAGTTTGCCAACTGAATTACCAGATAATCTTGTTTATTGGATTAGATGCGAGACTAAAATTAAATAAGACTCAGAACAGATTACTAATTAGCAGCTCATAGATTTTTATAGTAAAACAGTAAGCCTATTCGATGAAATCCCAAATCAAACCAAGAATGAATAAAATGAGGATGATGAAATTTAGCAAAAAATTATAGAACCAATAATAGAAAATGATATATTGTTTCAAGATCCTAAATGAGAAAAACATGTTAGTAAACAAGGTAAGAATCAAGTAAATTTATAAATTTATTAATATATATCTATATTGAACTTTCTCATTAATATTTTGTTTAGAAACTAATATTTTTAACACAATAAAAAAGCCTGCGCCATAAAGAGAATTCAATATAGAGGGTTACATTTAAATGGATAATGTCACTGAGGAAACTATATTTTTCAACTCTAAATTCGAGTCAGGAAACCTGAGACAAGCATTTAAAGTCCCATTGTCTGTTCTCATGTAGCAATAAAATTAGTAATCCCAATAAGCCTCTGAAATATAAACTCCAATTACTCCTGAATATAAACTTTACCTACAAGATGATACAAATAACGATAATTCCTTGACATAGTGGTTTTATTTTTCAGTCTTTAACATTAAGAAAGAATTTGTAATTAAGTTAACTATTGACAATCTGATGAAAGATGATAGCTTGTATTCAAGTGGAATGAAGCCATTCGTATACTCTATAAAAAAGAAGAAATTTTAGAATATTGGATGGCATAGAGGCGGTTTTGATATTTCTTATAATCCGAATGGACAAACAATTAGAACTAGTTCAAAAACAGTAAGTAATTATACATATTAATTTATAGTTTTAATTAGTTAGATCATGATTTTGACCCATCGTATGTTGATTTTGTGGGTGATAAATTTAAGTAAAATAGTTCTTTGACTTTTCATTACAAATTTGAATATGAAAATGATATCGTATTCTTTTCTCATTTCGCTCCATATACTTACACTGACCTTACAAATTATCTTGGAATGATTCAACAGAACGAAGATTATAAGGATAAAGCAAGAATTGATGGGCTATGCAAAAGTCTTTGCGGAAATATTTGCTATAGTTTGACAATCACAAACAATATATGAGAGACTTATCTCAGTGCATAGGAAGAAATCGAGGCATTCCGAGTTTTCGAATATCGCATTCCAAAATCATAAGGTGGATTATAAAATGGAGAAAATATTAAAAAGGAAAAAAAGAAAAAAAAGAAGATTAAAGATAAAGAGGGCCAAAATTAAGGTTAAGGACATAAATCTAAAAAGAAAAATAACTCCATAAAAAAGAGCATTGGTTAAGATGGCGGCGCTCATAATGATTTAGATGAATCAAAGAAAGATACTAGAAATGAGGAAAAGCTTCATAAAAAACCTGATTTAGAGTATAAGCAATTCATATTTATTTCTTCGAGGGTTCATCCTGGGGAATCAAATGCCTCCTATTTATCTCATGGTATGATTGAGTTTTTACTTTCAAATGATCCTGAAGCACATGAGCTAAGAAATAATTTTGTTTTCAAAATTGTACCAATGTTGAATCCTGATGGAGTTATTTACGGTAATTATAGATCTTCTTTACTTGGTGTTGATTTAAATAGAAGATGGAAAAACCCAAGTAAATTTCTTCATCCTACTATATATTACTCCAAATAACTGATAAAGTGGATGCATTCCTATTAAAAACATCCTCTTGTATATAATGAAACATAATACAATGGTGTTGTAATGAGTTGTGATTTTCATGGCCACAGTCGAAAGAAGAATATATTTATGTATGGTTGCTTCTTACCAACTAATGATCCACTTAACACCACAAATTAAATTATTCATTCAGTTCCCGAAGCGGTAAGTACTGTCTGTCCAATCTTTAGTATAAAGGATTGCAAATTTTCATGTGAAAAGGAGAAAGAAACCACAGCTCGAATAGTGCTGTATAAAGAACTGGGAATACTTAATTCCTATACTCTTGAGGGTACATTTTATGGAAGTGATATATTTAAATAACCTTAAAAGAGGTTGCAAAGTATGAATAGTTTTGTGTCATAATAGAATTAAACTATTGTCTCTCCTTGGATGAGTACAGATCCAAGAGAAGATATTCATATCACTATTTCAGATTTGATGGAAGTAGGTAAAGATTTTGGAAGAGGAATATATCAAGCTATACAAACAAAGCTGATAAGAAAGTTATGGTTTCCGCATCATAAAAGTAAGATGACAGAGAAAAGAACATCTCAAAGCAAACTTATTTAAGCTGAAAAAGTTGTTAAAAATATTAATGAAAGAATATAATTTCGAAGAAGTGATACAAATCATATACCTATTGATCCAAGATACAAATCAGGAATTGTAACTAAGAGAAATATCTAAAATGCAAGTGTGGGTTAGAATTTTATTATTGGTGGAATTACAAGTCTTGCAAATTAAACACAGAACCAAAGTAATCATAATCTAAGAAGACAGATTTCAAAGAGTAATTATAAGAAGGAATTATTGATTTTTGCATCTGACTAATTTGCAAAGTCTAGAGCTTATGATGGATTTCATGGTAAAGGGGATGAAAGTCATCTAAGAACTCATAATTTGAACGAATGAAGTAAGGAAATGCTTGCTGATGGATAATCTTTTGTTGATGAAGAGTAATCAATTTTCGAAAATCCTACTTTAAGATAGAGAGAGTTATCACCAAGACCAGCAGTACTCTAAAATCCTCTATAACCATATAATTCTTAGCTATAATCATTAGATAAAAAATCGGTAACTCCTGATTAAGTCTCTTCAGTAAAATTGAGATAATTTGAAAAGGATGCTAATATGAAGTAAGAGGCTACCTAAGGTTTTCTCAAGTATAAATTCCATAAGAGTCAACTAGCATATTAAAACATGAATGGAATGAATATTCCTAATCTTCCACCAAACGTTTATCATTTTACAAATTAAAAGTTCAAGCATCATAACACTCATTTTTTCATTCATAATCAGAATTAGCAATTTCTTGAGTACTAGAAAAATCAAGTCAGTGGTTAGGGCTTAATCTAACCATTCTTATAGTAATAACAGTAATTTTAGTAATAAAGCAATTTAGTTTCAATTAATAATCTTGCCTTCAGCTATCCTGCAAAAAATATAGATACTAGTAATATTAGTATCATCCATTAAAACAAGATTGACTCTTCATAGGTAATTAAAGAATTTACATCAAATTAGACTAACATAAATAATCAAGACTAACTTTAAAATGCTAAGGATTTTTAGAAGTATCTCTCATAATAAAATTACAAACTACCATTGACAGGTCAATCAAGAGAAAATAATGGTTTCAATGATGAGTAGTCATAAAAATCTTTAGCCTAGCATATAATTGAGATGGCGTAACTAGACTATGATGATCCTTAATTATTTGAACCATCTGTTGATTTTTAAAGGTCTTAAATTGCTCAACCTAGTCCTGTTGCAAAAAGGAAAATAAAAAGTAGGTAAAATCTTAACATAGTGTCTAATGGAAGTTAGAATAACCCTAATGGAGGTCATAGAGTAAGATTAAAGCAAAACACAAATGCTTTAAAGCCAGATTAAGCATAGAGAATTGTTTATCATTAATATGGATAAAATATTTAAGCACGCCAAAATGGTAATGAAATCAACATCAACAACAATAGCCTGCTAAATAATATGAACGGAACTTAGAATAACTAAAATATGCAGCAAACTATTTAAGGGTCTGCATAAACTGAGATTTTTTAGCTCCCAAGGATTGTAGATAATAATAATTACCAACCTCCAGTATCGGTAATCACTAATGGCTTAAATCAGGTTATGTCTGAAACTATTGATAACAGTAAAATCTAATCTGAGGAAAAAATCAAATCTTTGCTGCATAGTTCATTGAACTCAAAAGTAAATTCACTTGCCTTAGGTCAATCTTACAAAAATGCTCCATAAACTATTAAGAAAGTTTAGCATCCTAAGTTAATATAAGCCAGTTAGTTTTAAAACTAGTAATAGCATAATTCATAGAATTTCTTCTGTTACTATCCAAATATCTAAGATGGTTAAGAGGCATAAATTCAAAGTTAAGTTAACAGTAATCAACATACAGGAAGTAATATATTTATGAGCAACTAGGCATAAAATTCCAATCACCCAATGCTGCAGAAAAATGCCCAAGGACATAAAAGGAAGCTCTTCTAGATTAAGGAGTATAACACCAATGCCACAAAAGCTGAGAGTAATAACATGGTAGCAGCTGCTGAGGCTATGAAACAAAGAAAGACATTTTATGATTTCAATAGCCACTAAAACAACAGTCTGATTGCTTCAAGTAATGGAAATATAAACGGAAATGTTTTGTCATAGTAATTTCAAAGTAATACCCTTACCAATACTTTTGGATAAAAATTTGAGAATCAGAGTAAATTACCATTAAGCATACCACAAAAAAACGATAAAAAAGATGAGGAGCTTTATCAATAAACATTAAATGAATCACTTTATAGATCTTCTGGAAAACAAAATAATAACCCAGGTTCATTTGCCTTGCCAGTAAAGCTAAATTAAAGAAATAAAAATTATGATATAGAATTCTAAGAGAGTGATAATAAGGATCCAGATATCATTGATACTTATAAAAATGGTAAAATAGCTAACTCTGAATTGCTTCACAACCAAAAGTTTTCAAAGTCATAGGTTAAAAATGAAAATCTCGACAATAAAATGCCAAAAACGTTTTATCTTGTAGAGCAAAAAAATCATCAGTAAAATTTGCTAATTGATGGATAATCTTCTCCATTTAATAAGATATATCCAACTTAAGGCAACTTAGAGCCATTGGCTAAAATAAAATTATCCAGCTTAAATTATCTCGATAAACAAAGCTAAGAATAGATAATATTGACAGTAAGAGCTGCCCTTAATAGTGACATGTCAATATTGCCTCAGAGTTAGTCAATAAATCATTCGAATATATCAAATGATACAGCTTGAGCTTTTGGTGTTTAAGGTTAAAATTTTAATAATACTGCTAGTCAGCAAAACTTCAATGTAAAAAATCAGGCTACTATTAATAATCCTACTAATACTCTCAAACTCAGCATAATCTAGTAGATAATTAAAGCAGTTGAGAACAAAGATAACAAGATATCAATAAAGAGAATTAATAGTGGGATGGTATAAAGGACTGAGGACCCTAGTCAACAGCATTCACCCAGCATTTAACCCTAGGCCTTGAACTCATCTAATAAGTATAGCAAGACTAGCAGTAGAAAGGTTAGCATAAAAGACATAATCAACGGAGATATGGACTTTAAAGAAGTATCTAAAGACAGGCGAGCGAGCGATCATAGTTACAATCATACATACTAACATCATACTCATACTCATCATCATCATAACAATGCTGGAAGTCTTAATATAAACTAAAATAATATCGAGGAGGAGCGAAATAGGATAAGCAGCATTTTAAACAGTTAAAATGCCTCTAAAAATGATTTAAAGTCTATAAACAAAAAACCTAAGTGAATTAATTATTTAATATCTCCTTATCCTTTATGTATCTATCACTATGGGGTTTTGGGGTTTTGGGGTTTTGGGG